CCAGAAAAACCCCACAGACTCGGAACTCCCACTGTTGAAGATGCTGAACGAGCTGCTTCATCACAGGCAGGTGTGTGTACAACTCAATCTGACCTACGGACCACAAGGGTTAAGGCACTGCATTACAAGAAACTCATTCTTCTGGGAAGACTGTAAAAATCGGGGCAAAGTGTTCAAGGGTCACACTTTCTCTTGCAACAATCAGAAAACTTAAGGTTCTACACAGAAAGCTCTGGGAGCATAGCCCCTTCTCTATCAGTTCAAATCTACCAGCAGTTCCTCACGAGAAGGATGGGCGATCTCCTCTCATGCAACTGACAGCCTCCGAAAGGCCACTGGAGGATCAGCCAAGAGCCAGTTCTGCCTGGACAGCAGAGAGTGACCAAGTGAAGGTACTATACACACGACGGACTGCCACGCAGCGTTACAGAATAGCAACGAATCTGCAAAGCAGCTCACAACACGGGTGATCCTAGAGAAGGACTCAGGGAGATCAGCCAGTCACAGAAAACCCAAATCTTGTAGGAAAGCACTACTACATAAACCCCTAACAGTGCAAGGTCCACCACTACGGGGCCTCCAAGCACGCCCCTGCTTTATGATATGCACACTTCTCTCCGGTATGCCCAACACAAAGCAAGAGAAATGGGAGGGTCAATGACCATAGGGAGCGAGCGGTCATGTGCCACTGAGCTGGAACTCACAGCTGACCCTCCATGGGTAAATTACACAGGAGGAGACTGCCCGATCTCCTCAGCAGCGCAGCGGGTGGATTTGAACAGTGTGCCTTTGAGTTTGCAATGGGCTTCTTACCATGAGGCTACCAGAGCTCCCCACTGTAAGGTTAAATCGAAACTCACAGTAAGGTTTAAGAGGTCACATGTGGTGATCTCCGATTACCAGTCTTACCTCACAGACGTCCATGTTCCAGCCCTGCTCTGTGTGTCAGTTTTTCATTTCTTCGGCTGCACCTCGCTCCTCCCACCTCAAGGCCCTCAGCATGTTGTGACTTCTGCCTGAACTACTCTTCCCTCCCTTTCCTTTCCCTTTCAGGCTCAGTTTAAAGGCCACCTGACCTCCTTGTGACTCTGTGGAGAATTTGTCACAACCCCACATAAAATTATTCAGGTGATCTGTGTTTACAACAGCTGATACCCCCCACTTGATCATGAGCTTCAAGTCAGCACTCAGTAAACACAATGAACAAATTAGAGCCCATGAAGTAGGTGCATGTACATACACTCAATCTGACCTACTGAATGAGATGAGCTGAATTACACAAACAAGGCCAGGAATCATAAGGCTTGACTGATTGCAGCACAGCTCAGAGCTGCAAACATTCCTACTGAGGGTGGAAGCACCACAGCTTCAAGAAAAGCAACCTGTTCAAACGGCTGACATACCTGGACAGTCGAACAGGATGTAGTCGTCCTCGGCATGGCCCAGACAGTTCTCCAGCCAGTCAAAATTGCTGGCAAAGTACTCCATGCAGAACACCAACCCTCCATTGGGACCGAACCGCAGGGAGTCATCCTCCATCACATCGTCCACCTCGATCAGCTCGCGGATGTCTGGAAAGGTGTGACAGGGTGCAGAATAGCAAAACTTCCAGCCAAAATAGGCTAGTTTTACTGCTAACATGTACATATACAGTCAACTCCTCTGCAGACAATCACCCAGGTACACAGCACTCACTGAAGCAGGGTCTACTATTAGGGGACTAACGAGGTCCTGACGAATATAACCTCCCAGGTACACTGTCAGGTAGAAAGGTGCAGAGTGCTGGAAATAAGGCATCATTTGCTAAAATTGAACACAAAATAAAAATTCACTACAGACATATCACATACGAAACTCTGCTGTCAAGGTGGAAACTACTACTCAAAGCTCTCCACTGGGCCCAGGGTAGCAAGACAGACTGTCAGGAGCCTTCCAGGACACTAGGTCTACTACAAGCATGACAGGGGAGGGCCCCGGGACTCACCAGCCATCACCGAGTAGCTGAAGTGCTCTGCGGCTGGATCCAGGTTCACAACCTGGACAGATCGATTGAGGGCCTCGCAGTGTTGGACCATGGTGGCGCAGTAGGTGCTCTGTAAGGTCACAAAGCCACAGAAGTCAGAGCGGAGGAGGATCGCCATGGAGGAACCCGCGGGGCTAGTAATGACAGGCCACAGCTATGGCCGCTCTGACAATCTCCCGCGAATGGGGCAGCCTTGACACTAGCAGGGTCCTCACTGAGGGCAGCACTGGTTTCAAAATCCGGCTTACTAAGTGTGTGATCTCCGACAAAGGATTTTATGTTTCTGGGCCTCACTTTCCGTCTCTGTAAAAGGAAAACTGGAGCGACCTCATACCGTGGCTAGGGGTAATCAATGGGCAAAAGGATCCGACCCAGAGCTGACCGTCTTCCTTCCGCAGAGCGGCTGGTGTATTCAAACCGCATGCTTTGAGACTGCAGTGCAGTTTCTTTTTTTTTAATATTTTATTTTATTTTATTATTTTTATGTGCGTGTACCGTCAAATCAGATCTGACTGGTACAGGAGGAGATTGCCCCTCCTTCCCCGGCAGAGCATCTGGTGGATTCGAACCGAGCACCTCTGGGGTTGTAGTTGCAGCTTCTTGCCACTAGGCCACCAGAGCTCCCCTAAAAAGTCTTATTTTATTATTTTATGTGTGTACCTTCAAATCGGATCTGACTAGTACAGGAGGAGATTGCTTCTCCTTCTCCAGCAGAGCATCTGGTGGATTCAAACCATGTACCTCTGGGATTGCAGTTCAGCTTCTTGCCACTAGGCCATCAGAGCTCCCCCCAATGCAGTTTCTTATCAGAGGCTACCAGAGCCCCCCAGGTATCCGCTAAGTATTAACAATTACAACTTCCCTTTCAAAAGTAAGAAAGGGCGCGGAAATGAGTAGCCGAGGCTCGTCAATACCCAACCTCGCCGCCCTAATATACCAGGACCAGAACCCCATTCAACCCCCAACGAAGCCCCACCTCTCCCCCCTCCAAACCCCTACCTTCCCGCTGCCTGCGGGGCCCATGACGAGCTGCGCATACCGAGGCATGACAGCACTCGGGCGGCAAGCGAAGCCGGGCACACGAAACCCAGGTGCCTGCAAAGCACCCAGCCGGCTGCCACGTTCCCGTGAGCCTCCGCGGGGCGCTGAGTTCCGGAAATACGGCGTGCGGGCCAATCACAACCCACGTTCCTCTCTCGCGCGCCGTCTAGCCACACCTCTCACTTGCGTCTCACGGAGAGGCGCAAGGACCAAATCACGTGAAAACGCGATCTGCAGAAAGGTTGAAAGGGGTTGGGCGGAGCTTGAGGCTTGCGCGTGCGCAAATGTAGCTGTGGTTGGGATGCAGGCGAAGTGTGGTTGCCTAGGTGATAATGGAGCACGCTCAGCATCCTTGCGCAGGGCGCTTTGGCTTCTGTGCCTGGATGGGATACTAATGATTTGCATATTCACTTAGGTCTGGAATATCGAAGTGGCGGGCATTTCTTGTTTTCAGGAGCACGCTTCGTTTCTTCTTGGGACTCATCCCCTCTAGAGTAAAGCACAAACGTACAAAAGTGCCATCAACTGAGCACTCGGCCCCGCCCCCACCACCCCAGCTCCAGGATCGTGATCTCCCGAAGCTCTTCGGGCAGTGTCCGGACCGCATCGGAGGGGGGCGAGTCTCTGGCGTCTGCCTCTTCACCCCAATACCTCCTGTCTGACGCACGGGCGCCAGGGGAAAGCCAGGGAAGGCTGCCCTGAACACGGCCGGCGATCCGGGCATCCGGAGGAGATGCCAGGCCAGGGACAGGTGTCCAACTGGACACAGAGCAGCTCTTCCGCAGAGCGGCCCGCAGCTGCCCGGCTTGAGGGTGGTGGTGGCGGGTAAGGCTGCGGGGTCCCAGGGGTTTGTGGGCCCTGCTGGAGGTGGAGGGAGGGAGGCTGCTTGGTGAATGGACTGGTTCCCTACAGTGGAGGGAGGGCAGGGAAAATGCTGGTTGGGATGGAGAAGGGAGATGAGCACGGGAAAGGGCTTCTGGAAGGCTGAGGATTTTGGTGCAGTGACCAGAGGTGGGACTGCGACAGTCGCCCACGTGCAGCGAGGACTGTGGGGCTGCAGCGTCCACTGCTGGAGGGCAGCGCGGGAGACAGGCTTCTGAGTCAGTGGTGCCTGTGGGGCGTCAGACCTGGGATCAGAATCGCCAAAGAGACACGGCTGTTAGTATTGGTGACACTTTGATCTTCGCTTTTTCCTTTATGGTGAAAAACCTTTCTTTCAAACCTCACTTCATTTGAGTACATCTTACTACTTCCGGCTGGTGAAGGTTGCAGGTTAAATCACTGTTAGGGACCCCAGTTCTTCTCTGCTTACCCCTCCTTCTCCCATCATACCTCCTAAAAGCCAGAGCGGTGGGCTCTGTGCTGCCTGAGTCAGCCCCGTCAGAGAGCAAGCTGCAGTCACTGAATCACTGTCACTGAATCATGGTTTTACGATTGAGGACTTCACAAAAGTGGGATGGGGTCACAGGTCTCCTTTCTGCTGCCCACAGTGCTCAATTAAAGAATTGCTGTGTCCCAAGTATTTGGGAGATCAAGATCATTGAATAATTGTGGAAGAGTGGTGTTTTGACTGTCTGGAAAAAAAAAAGCTTGTACAGAGTGAGACACACTCTGGAATATCTGTTCCAACACACCTTAATTATATATAATAAAGAATAGGATAGTCTTCTCAAATCCCAAATTACTTTATTAAAAATAGAAAAGAATGTGCCTTCTGGGTTAGATGGGCATCCAAACTACTATATGAGGTAATTACAAGGTCTAATTAGGAGATTATAAAAGTAAAACTAAACTTACAGCAAATTGTTAAAGAAAAAGTTTCATTAACTCACTTTCTAAAAGCCTGGGAGTCATTAGGATTTAACAAGAATTATAAGGTGAATTCTGTAAGTCCTATCCACTGAAAATATGAAGACCCTATGCAATGCTGACCTTTTCCTTTTAAGTATTTGCTAGAGCTTAAAAAGCTGTCAATTTTTGTGTATCATTTACATCTCACTCCTGTTTTTTAAAACAGATCATCAGGACATTCTAATGACCAGAATGCCAAAGGTACTGGTGAGTACTGACTAGAAAGTAGGTATCATGTATGAATAGCACGGTTTGGAGAACTCAGTATGTTGGTAACTACTTACACAATGGAGCACTTAAAATAGACTGCATTAGCATAGCGGGTGAACTAAGTCTTTAAGATTTTCAGAGAACAATCCAGCAGGCTCTTTCATGTCAATACCACATCAAGCATCTTTAAAAAGGTCTTTCAAAATTAGCACTGACATGAAAAGTGGTAACTGATGCTAGCTGGAAAATACAGAAGAGTGTGGGGTTTAAATACAGATTAAAGGAAAATGTCTAAAGTTCACGGCTCTCAAGAGGATAGACCTACTTCCCATTGCTAGCGTTTCCCTTTCACCTGAAGTAAAGGATCTCACTAGCCTCAGGTCACAGTCATTCACGGTGACCTGTCTTTGACGTCTGAACTATAAATCTTGGTTAAAGCAAGCTCAGCTTTCTGCCATTTCTGGCCAGTTTCAAACTCTCAACTCTTGATTAGCAGTCTAAAATAAAACACTTTATATTACCAGGGCTCCTGAAGTAAAAGGTGGCTGTTGTTCAATGCCATGGAATCAACACAGTCACCATGAACACCAGGTCTGAGCCTTGCCCTATCTTGCCCTATCCTCACCACCTCTGATATGCTTCAACCCACTGTTATAGTCAGTCTGCCAATTCATCTCATTGACGGTCTTCCTCTCTTTCTCTGACCTTCCACTTTTCCCAACATGGTATCATTTTTTCAAGTACTGTCCTCTCCTGACAACATGCCCAGAGCATGTGAGATGAAGTTTTACCATCCTTGGCTGTAAGGAGCAGTTTGGTTGCAAACTTGTTTGTCCTTTGGCAGGCCCAGTGATCTCCAGTGCTCTTCTCCAGCATTACAATTCAAAGGCATCAATTCTTCCGTCATCCTTACTCATTGTTCCACTTTCAGGTGCATAAAAAGTCATAGAAAAGACCTTATTTCGGATCAGGTGCACCTTGAAACTGATACCACAACTTCTCAAGTAAAAGGTAGTACTTTCAGGGGAGCTCTGGTGGCCTAGTGGCAAGAAGCTGCAACTACAATCCCAGAGGTGCACGGTTCGAATCCACCAGATGCTCTGCCGGGGAAGGAGGGGCAATCTCCTCCTGTACCAGTCAGATCTGATTTGACGGTACATGCACACAAAAATAATAAAATAAGTACTTTCAGAACACTCATTTCTGCCCTTATGGAGTTGACAGAGTAAGACGGGCTCCCAAGAGCATAGTGGTGGGGAGAGAGGTGCAATCCATTAACTCACTCTCTCCCCTCCCCCCGTACACACACATATATACAACAGTAGTTACAGTAGTTTTTAAATATCTCATTTAAATCCAACTATATGTAAAGGTCAGGAACTCTAGCTCTGGTGTCCTTCTGGGTTAGGAGTTGTATTGCCAAGGCAAAGGCAACCGGTTCAAATCCACTAGATACTATTTAGGAGGAAGGTGGACAGTCTCCTCTTGTGTAACTCAGAGCCTCTGAAAACCTTATAGGGTCAGCTATGGGTCGATTCCAACCTGAGGGCACACAAAACATACATACATTTGGATTCCCACTTGCTTTTCCTTGGAAAACTTAGTCCTTATAGTTGGGGTGGGGGGAGTATGGCTCCATATAGGGATAGAACATATATCCCTGTGCAAAGCGTGTTTAGATAAAATACAATGCATAAAATGTATTTTCAATGTATTTCATTCTAGTTTCATTAATTTACATTCTTCATTAGTTTACATTCCTACCTAAACAAAATTCTTACTAAATTAGAGTAAAATGTAGAAAAGAAATAAAACACAAGCCAGAAGATCAAACAGTCTCTTATCTCAGAACAAGGGAGCTCTGTGGCCTAGTCTGTGAGGACTCTGGCAGCTTAAAACCCCGAGCGCCTCACCAGAAGAAAGATGGGCACTGAGCTCCTGGGAATGAGGAGAGGGCTAGCACAATGCATGAACAGCAACCAATTTCAATCAACAAACTGGGTGTGAATTATTAGATGGGAAACTAATTAGCAGTGTCAATGTCCATCATAAAATGCTCGGGAAAAAAACGCCTATTTGCCTACAGTATTAAAAGCAATATCACTAAGGTTATGTAAAAATTGTTAATAAACTTACGCATCGTTAAAGGGATAAAATTTTCATTATTCTATCTTAAGTCCAATACAAGGAAATCTATGAAAAATTAATCTCATCAAGTGTTCTGTTTCTCAGAGAAACGTGTGGGATGTATGGTATTGTTGCCTGGTAGATTCTGATTGGTAGTTAGTATTAACACTTTCAAAACTCCATACACAAGTAAAATGAATGGTAAAATAACAGTATTATAAATCTTTAAAATATAAATCCTGTTTGTATAGTCCTTTGTCTTCTACTTCTGACACATGGTAAACTAAAAAGCTGAGGAACCATCAACAGTTTGCCTCTCAGCTGAGTTCAAAACAACACAGTTCATACATAATTTAACAAAAGCTGTTTTGCTGACTTTGAATTCATTTAAATAAATGTTGCATAGTGAATGTTTAAAATGTTTGTGTGCTCTTAAAACAAATTTAACAATCAGATATAAAATATGCCAAATATTACTCCTGGATAATCACTTGAACTTGCAAATTGATAGAATTTTTTTCTCAGTGATTTATTGATGAAATTGACATGCTAATATCTTGCCTACAGAGGAACTCCAAGATGGCCACAGAGTGGACTCACACATAGCCAAATTGCATGAGTTATGGAAAACTCCTCAACTTCAAACAGTTCATATCCCCAAATCAATGAAGGATGCAACCTTTCGAAAGGTATGTTAACAACAGAGCATGTGGACTTTTCCCCTGCAAGGTAACAAGGTACACTCTGCATACTGTCTAAACACCAAAGCAAACCCACTGCTGTGGAATGGGTTCTGACCACAGGGGATCTGAAAGGCAGAGCAGGCTGCTTCCCAGGCTTCTAAAGTCAGGCATCTTTACCAACTACGTCTTTCCCCCTCAGAGCAGCCAGCAGGCTTGAACCAGTGACCTCTCAGTTAGCAGCCCAATACTTAACCCATTACACTATTGTGTCCAGGAGCAAATAAAGATCTGTTGGGTAAATTCATGCACCAACTATAAAGATATTATCCTTAGAGACTTATCAGAGGAATTCAATGAGACCTGATATCTAATGCACCTTTATTCTGAAAGCTTCCTACCCCAAGCACAAAGATGCCGAAATAAAGAACTATTCTAGAGTTGGGAGCTCAGCCTCATAAAGATTCTGCTCAAGGACAGAAACATCAGAAGCAAGCAGATTTAAAAACAGAAAACAGTAAGCAAGCACTTGACGTCTATCACTTATGAGATCACAGCTGCCAGAAGAATTTTTGCTAACTGGTCAACAATTGAACTGGTTACTAAAGACCTGTGCAAACTGGGAAATTGTTGTGATTAATGTTTTACAACTTTTATGGGTTTATTACGTATTTAATTCTATAAATCTTGTGGGGGTACCATACATAGACACACACACACACAGACACAGTGAAGCCTTGTTGCTAAAGTGAATTTAGCAAGTAGGGTGACCACGTCCATCAAGATCCCATACAGCGAAGACCACATAATACAGCCAGTTATGTTTCTGGTGCTGGGAAGGCTGTTTCAGGTGAACTGAAGCGGAGGAACTTGGTCACTTTTAAAAAGTACCGTGTTCTACCATCAAAAAGCCCAATAGTTAAATGCTAGAATGGGTTGAGAAAGCGAGATTCCCACCCCGAGGGGAACATGGAACACAGAACCTTAGATTCACACGTTGTTTCTCCAGAGCAGCTGTTTCCAAAGGTCAGAACACATGGGAAGGAGCAGCACTTGTCCTATTGAAATAACCGCTTCTCTTTCTTGTTGGCAAACTCACCTGCAGTAGGTGCTTGTGGAGTCCACCGAGGTTCACAATAAAGTGATGTACTGTGGATGGAAACCTCGCCAGATCCTATGCCATCCACACGATCTCCACTGGGCTCAAGCTCATTGTTGCAATCACTGGGTCAATCCACCTCTGTGAAGGTCTTCCTCTCCTTCACCAATTACCTCTTTTTCTGAGTCTGATGTCCTCCCGGGAATGACCCCTCCTGGTAACAGGCCCAGGTAGATGAGACAGTCTCACCGTCCTTGCCTCTGAGGAGCACTCGGGCTGCACGTCCTCTGAGGCAGAGGCTGGTTCTTTGGCTAGGACATGGTATAGTCAATACTCTTCACCAACACTGCAATTCAAAGGCATCGATTCTTAGATCTCTCATTCCCTTCACAACTTTCACACACATACATATGAAGTAATGGAAAATACTAGGGCTTGGGCCAGGCACATCTTAGCCTTTAAACTGACCAGATAATATATTTGAATGTAAACATGCATAAGGCATAACCTCATGGAACACTTGAAACCTTTCAGGGATAGTGCCAACCTCTGTTCTCCAAGTGAGACTGTCCCCTGCTTCTTGTTCCAGCATCCCGACCTCACCGCAGGCCAGAAGCGCTATTTGTGTAGCATTGCGAAGATCTACAACACTCACTACCTGAGGATGTTCATGAAGAGGCAGTGCCTGCACGTGATGGAGCCAGGCAGGTGCCCCTCACTTGTTCGGCCGCCTTCTCCCCGAGGCAGGGCCGTCCAGCTCACTGTGCTCTGTGTGACAGGAGTCCCGGCTCACCAAAGGGGCCGTCTCAGCTCCCAGAAGCAGCCTCACCCCTGCACCACCTGGCGACACCAGCTGGAGAGAGCGCACTTGGGACCCCCTGGCGGCACCGCTGGCTGTGCACCTGAAATGATCACGTGCCAATCCCTCTGGCGACCAGTGAGAGACAAAGAAGGGTCTGTTCTTACTGCCAGAAGCGGGTGAAACAGCCAGTTATTTGAAGGATGGTTCTATGATATTAACGTTCTCTTATACGCTAACTTTGCTAAACTTAAGACCAGACCAGGCACAAAGCACAAAAATGATGTTTTCTTCATTGAGTGCAATACAGTACTTCTTTCTGAAGAATTTTGTAGAATTATGGTAAATATTTCTTGGTCAGCCAGAAAGACAGGTGATTTCCCTCTCAAATATGTTGTTGTTGTTGTTATGTGCCGTCAAGTTGCCGGCAACTTATAGTAACCCTAAAACAGCCTGAACCCCAACCTGTCCTGAGCCAACCTCATTGTCTCCTATACACCCATCCCCATTACCTCACTCAGTCAATCCATCTCATCCAGGGTTTTCCTCTCAAACATGATTCCCACTCAAATTTCAATAATACATATACTTTCAAAAAGGCAAGATCATTAATTGTTTCTACACAGAATAATATTCTAAGACAAAAAAGAGAGGGTAGGAAGAGCTAAAGAAGCCTGAAGAGTATTCAACCTATCCTCCAGAAGTGAGGTTCCCACTTCAGGTTCAGTGCGTTACAAGAGAATGTGGGGGCTGAAGGGGTGTCTTTGGTTCAATTAAAAGAGCTTGCACTATTCCCCACATGGATTAGACAGCTGTTCACTTTGCTGGCTCCAATAAAGAAACTCTCCTTTCTAACAGGTTAAAAACTGGATTTGCAACTAAAACAAGATGTAAATCACTGAAGATTTTTCGAAAACCAAGCCGACTCTTCATGCAACCAGGTAAACAGGAAACGGAAAGTACAGGTATCTGTAAAGATGCTTAAAATATACTTCATGAAATTTAATGTCACTTCTACTACTGAACCAAACACAAGCCTGTTGCTGTCCAGTCAGCTGTGACCCAGGTGTGTCACCGTAGAGCTGCTGCCCTCCATGGAGTTGTCAGTGGTTGTAATCTTACAGAAAGCAGCCTTGGCGGCATGATGCGTAATAGTCCAGGCTATTAAGGGCAGCAGTTCAAATTCACCTGCTGGGCCTTAGGAGAAAGACGGGCAGTTTCCCCAGGAAAGAATTACAGCCTCTGAAAATTGACGGGGGTCGCTGTGAGACAGAACAGACGTAATGGCAGTGATTCTGGGGTAATCTTACAAGGTGCATCATCAGGGATTCTTCTTGATGCTGCTGATGGCTCAAACCTCCAGCTTTGCAGTTATTCACAGCCAAGCAGGCAGTGTCAGCTGGGGACCTAATGAAAACCAAATGTGAAATTCAGGTTTGCTTTTATTACAGTAACACACAGCACACTGCAGGAGCCCTGGGGGCTACATAGTGCTGGGCTGCCCACCTGTATCACACTGCTCAGACATGAGGAGGCTTCAAGGCATCTGTAACCTGCAGAGATATTTAGTGTCAAGGTGGTTATTAGGTGGGGTCAAATCTCACTCATAGTAACCTCATCAATGCAGAGGAGACCTTGAGAGTAGAGCCCAGGCCTATATTTCAGTCAGCAGTTTACGAATTAACAGTTGATGCCCCCCAGAACTCCTCCTATCAATGTGGTGGTGGCTGTTGTGATGTCAAGTCAGAACCAACCTACAGCTGACCCTCGAGAGGGTTTTCAGAGGCAGTCAATCACACAGGAGGAGACTGCCCACCCTCCTCCAGTAGAGCAACTGCTGGATTTGAACCACATGCCGTCAGGACTGCAGGGTAGCTTCTTATCACTAGGCCACCTGAGTGCCCTCCCTATCAAGGCTAGGATGACTTTAAAGCAGGTGGTTGGTAGGTGCCATCGAGTCGACAATGACTCACAGCGATCCTATGAACAGAGCCAAGTCTTGTTTGCCCCGTCCTGTGCATCACCGTGACCCCTGCCATGCTCACAGCCACTGTGATAGTCCGTGTCAGTCATCTCCTTGAGGGCTTCCTCTCCTGACCCTCCACTTTCTCCAGCAACATATTTCGTGTAATACTTTACAAATGTCTCATTCACAGGAAGTCCCGAGTGTTGAAAATGGCTAACATGCTTATCTGCTAATGAAAAGGTCAGAGGTTCAAGTCCACTCTGAGGCACTTAAGAAGGCAGGCTGGCAGTCTGAAGCTACCAGCTGCTCCATAGGAGACAGAGGCGGCAGTCTCATCTGGGTGCCTTACAGGACAGGCTGGTAACACAAACACTGTGGGGCCACAGATAGAAAACCTCATCGTCATCAGGTCGGGAATGACCAGAGCTGACTCAAGTGGGGCTTCAGAGGCTGGGACTCACACAGGAGGGAATGCGCCTCTGGAGCTGCTAGTGGATTCAAGTCGCCTGCCTGAGGCTGACAGCACAACCTCTTCTACTAGGCCACCAGCACTGCTCCCTCCTCTTTCCACCAGGCCAGGGGGAAAAGTATGCAAGTGTTCCTCAGAAAAGATTAGAAGGAAGTGAGGGAATTTCTCCAAGTCACTGTAGTGGGTGGGGAAGCAATGACTAAGGTTTTCTGAAATGAGCACCAGTGCTGTGTATGAAGCCACTGCAGTCATACCTTACCGTGCCCATCCAATGAGGGAGGGACCAGCAGAGCGAAGTCTAAAGAGAAGAGTTAGGGAAAACCTCCGAAAGAGAAACACTTGCATGGTCTCCAAGAAACAAGAGGAATGAAAGAGAACTAAAGCAATGACTGAAGACAGGCCCCTGAAGAGCTCACTTTGCCCTGTGGCCTAGTGGTTTACATGCTCGGCTGTTAACCCCGAGCCTGGGGCCTCAGACCCATCTGCTGCTGCATGGGACAAAGATGAAGCAGCCTGTTGCAGAAATAGTATAACCCCAGAATTTCTGAGGGAAATCCGACCGTATCCTGGAGGACCACTATGAGCTGGAAGTGATTCCAAGGCAGGGGTTGCTGGGTTTAATTTAACAAGAAAACATATGGCTGACTCAACTGAAAGAAGAGTGTGAAAATCAATGACAAGATTTACTAATAGAACTTCTATATAGTAACTTGGCTAGAACACACTATTATGCACTTGTTTATAAAAGACTTGAGGGGAGGAGAGAGAGGATTTTTGAAAACTCCAAGATATTGTTTTTTTGCAGAAGGCTTAATAAGCCAGGTCATGTTAAAGGTTGTCATTTACATGCAATTAAGAATTTTCAGGATGAAACCAATTCTTTGCAAGATGGTACCACTCATTTTTCTTTCAGTTTCTCTAGATTACTCTGAACCTTATGTGAATGACGAGAAGAAGGAAGAGGATTTCCTAAATCAGTGTATGCAGTCAATGTCGATTGAGGAACAGGGAGAACACCTGATGCTGACCTGACCTTCCCGTCTTGTGTACAGAATTCAAACACCAACCTACATGAGGATAGCGTGCCAAAGGCGGGCGGGGGGGAGGGGGGCTGTGAACTGTCTCCTCTGTGTTCACAGGAATACTGCCATTCACCAGGAAGTCATTAAGCAATTTTGGTTTGTCTAAAACTTTCACAGTAATGTAACTGGTTTCATGTGCCAATGCTATTTGTGTAATAAAATTTATGTGTACTACATGCTTGTATTTCTTGCTAAATACTATTAAAATTTTCTCTTGCCACTAAATTTGATTCTTTTAATTCTATTATATGATGATAGTGATAATAATTTATCTGTAACTGAAACATGTAGACTAGTCAGTAAGTTTGCCTGTTGGTTTTTCAGACAACAATAATATCCTAATATAAAGCAGCAGTCAACAGAAATTAACCCCTTAGCTAATAAAGCAGGCACTCAATAAACAGATGCTATTTGTACTCAAATTACTTGAGAGCAGTTGCACTGACAAGAGAATTCTTTGTAGTATATATTTAACTTGTACTTCTCTGCTAAAAATGGTCTTATAACACTATTTTTGTTGAATCATGAAAAATGGAACTAATTAAAGTCAGTTTAAAAGGGGAAAAGTTAATAGTTTGAACAATCACTGAGTTCATATGTATACACCGATTTATTACGTAGAAAATAAGTATTCAGAAAGTTTAATCTGAGGTCAACATTATGACAAGGAAATGTTAAGCGTGCTCAGAAAGGTGGTCTTATCAATATCATCACATTAATATTTACCTAGTTTGATCTCCTGATACAGAACACCATATTTTTAATTTTTCAAGGTTTTTCTAAGCTAAAGAAGTTTTCAAGAAAGTACAAATGGAAGAGAAAAGTTTATTTCTGAATGGATAAAAGCATACACAAGGAATTCTTGTCTCTTTCTCTTCATGCACTTCTTTTGTAATAGAGTTCCAGATACCAACTTCACTATTTACCAGCATTTTTCTTAACACTGATCATTTACTAGCTGGTGGACGTTTTTTTCATAGAAATCACATACTGTAAACTAAATATGAATTCTCATAGTTTGTAAGCAGCTTACAGCAATTAAGTATTAACAGGGAAGATACATTCTACTGTAAAATAGAAAAAAAATGATACAATTTGTGGCTTTCAGTGTTTAGTTACTTGATTTAAATGGGAATGAAAAAATAAAACAAAAATCAAGACAGGCCTAGCTTTAAGACTTTTTGTACTCGATTCGTTCTACTTTCACATCATCTCCAATTAGCTGGTACACATAAGTGACAACAGTAGAAGCCTGGATATCCATCAACACAAACGAAGGAATAATGTTTCTGGAAGAAAAAAATAGTAATGTTAGTGTTTTATACAACAGTCCCCAACTTGTAATAATGTATTTGAGTGGCCACTAAGTACAGACTATTTTTTAACATTTTACTGTGACTTGGGTAAAAAATCTACACAGCAAACTCATTTTCAAGGATTCATACATTTGTGACACTGACTGCAAGCCCAGAAAGGGCTCCCTTGCCACTTCCTGTTTCCAGTTCCCCTTTCCCATTCTTTCCGCCCCCTCGCCTTGTGAGCTGCTTCTCTGGCAAATGCTGCCCTTTGATCTCACACAGCTGGCTGTCCTAGGGAGGTAGTGTCTCCTGGTGTTACTGCTCAGCTTAAAGGCCCTTCTATCATTCAGCTGAAAGCTGAGTTACAGGAGTGACTTACAGGATGATTAAAGGCCACTGATTCAAGGGCCTCTATCAGACCAACAAGCCTGATCTTTTTTACGTTTTGTTGGATATTTTTCCCCTACTCTACCCAGCCGTCCTATTGTGAACCCTTTCAGCGCAGCCAGCAGTGGTAGCTGGGCATTTTTGGTATGTTTTATCAATGGTAATACTATACACAATGCTGAAAGCCTCTTCTTCTCCTGCCAATCCCTCAAGACAAAGACTAGATTTACAAAGATACCCAGTATGTAAGAGGGTAACAGTGAAAATGAAAAGTAATAGACTGAAGCCTGACCCTTGAGAGGCTGTGGTCTCTGTCAGTGCTCCTTGAGGACAATAAATTCTTTAAAAAAAAAGGAAAGTAACAGACGTCCATCATAACTGATGTAAGACGGAGCCACTGGGACAGGAACCCCAGTATAAATAAAAAATCACCTACATGGGAGTGTTAAGTCAAAGACCACAGACATGGGAAAGTAGCAGCACTCTCATTTCCAACTCAAGTAACAATGTGGATTCAAGAACTGCAGTTGTTCCTCATGTAGTAAGAGAACAATTACCAAAAGCCTGGCAAAAAGGCTTAGCATTTTAAACCAGACGTCGTTCTCTTTATGAAACACCATATGTGCAATTATTAGCTTGACGACGAGCCTACAGACTTCCAAACTGCATACTACTCACGTTTCCAAGGCATTATATGCTCCAGTGGCAGAACCTGGGTTAATGTAGAATTTATTTTCATGCTCAAATGCTTCGAATTTGTGCGTGTGTCCCGAGATAAGAATGTCCACATCAAACTGCCTCTGCAACAGGGCTAAGCTGGCCATATCTCCCCAGGGGATAACTTGATGGCCATGGATCAAACCGATTTTGAACTGTCCCACAGTTACAACCTTCTGTTCTGGATAATTTAGATTCTAAAACGAGAAACACAAAGAAGGTGTACTTTAGAGATGTTTGGAAAAATCAGTCCATTAAAATGTTCACTGTTATGTGGGCATTAGATACAGGACCACACAGCCAGTGTATTTATTGAATATTTTCAGGAGCTAAGGCTACAGAGGTGCTCACTCATCATACAACCTCTTTAACTCTGATTATTTCTACAGAGTACTGTTTCTTTTAGATATGATGTAGAGGATAATTAATCCTTAAAATGGAGGCATTTATCTACCTAAGAATTCTAGACAGATGTCAGGATGTGCTCAAATTACACCCCAGGATTTACTAGTCATAAAGCTTGAAATAACCATGGCAACTCAAACATACCAGTCACCTGCGGCACCCAGGAATGAGCCAGGCGCCCGCGAATGTTTTACAAATATCAACCTATTTAATACAAATAGTAAGAGGAAAGGTCAATTTTTTTTTAGAAAAGGTCTATTAATACAGTTTTACAGATGAGAAAACAGAGGCTCAGAGAAGTTAAAATAATTTGCCCAAAGTCACACACCTTGTGTGTGGAGCTGCTTAATAAAGATTTAAACTATTCAAACCTTGTAATTTGGTTCCTAATAACTCACTCCCTCATTGCTGTTGAACTAGAACCTGCTCTCAGTGGACCCTCCAGTGGGTTGTCCCTTTGGGACTGACTGACTTCACTCAGCACAACGTCCTCTACATTTGTCCATGTCATGCCCTGTGTCATGAACCGGTTTTCAACATTGCATGATCTGTCACTGTGTGAACACATCTGTCCATGTGGAAGCTCTTATTTTTTAGGACGTATACTTAGCAGGATTGCTGGATCAAATAGTATTTCTATTTTCAACTTTTAAAGAAAATGCTAAACTTCTTACAATAGTGGCTGCACTATTTTACATTCTGACCAGCAGCTGGTGTTTACTATCTTACTCAATTTTGTTATTTTTATTGGGGTGAGATGATATCTCCCTGTTATTCTGATTTGCATTTCTCCCAGAACTAATGATCTTGAATATTTTGTCATGTTTGTTGCCTATCTAATATTTTCTATGAAGTATCTTTTCAAATCCTCTCCTATAAGGCACTGAGTTGTTTTGTCATTTTCTTGTTGAGACAGTTTTCTATGACTTTAGAGATGAACAATTTGTCTTCTCTAAAAGTCACTGCCAAATATTTTTCCTCGTCAGTAGGTTATTATTTTGGAGAAATTTTTTTGATGCACATCAGTATTTCATTTTCAGAAGATTTTAATAATCTATTTCAGTCTCTGTTGTTATTTTTTGGTGACTTTTTAGAGTCTATTTATGCCATACAACTGGGTTCCTAAGTATGTCCCAATTTTTTCTTTGATGATCTTTATAGTTTTCAGTTTTATGCCCAAGTCCATGATGCATCTTGGGTTAGTTTTTGTACACAGTATGAGATTTATGACTCTTATTTCCGCAAGATTCAATTTTGTGCAAATAGATTCCCAGATTTTACCAGCATCATTTGCGAAAGAGGCTACCTTTCCCCCATTTAACAGATTTTATCTTCCTGTCAAAGAGTGGCTGTCCAGAGGTGAATAAATTCATTTCTGAGTTCTTGAGTCTGTTCCATTGGTCTCTAACTCTGTTGCTGTATCAGAACCAAGCTGTTCTGAGTACCATGGCAGGCTAACAGGATGTCAAAGAGCTCCTACTTTGTTGTGTTTTTTTTCTTTAGTAGTACTTTGATTTTCTGGGGTCTCCTTCCTTGCCATGCATATAAAGCTGATGGTTACTTTTTTCTCTCTTATTGACGATGGGATCTGATTTGGGACTGCATTCTATCTGTGGACTGTTTTAAGTGTTAGACATTTTTACTGACAATGGTAAGGTTTCCTATCAATGAGCACAGAATATTCTTCCACTTAGGTCACTTTTTTGTTTCCTGTAGAAGGGTTTTCTAGTTTTCCTAGTATGTTTAAAATAAATCTACACTCTAATTACTCACAATATTTTAAGTTTTCATATTGGAATCAGATCTATCACACTAAATTAAACTATGTTAGCATTAGCAGACTTCTTGAACATCATCTAGTCTAATCCTAGTTTTCCAAAGGAGAAATGAAAGCTCAGAAAGAAGCAGCTATCCTCTTGGTACCATTATTAGCTAATGGGCAAAGCTAGAATTCCAAAACTCCTAATTATTCTTTAAAGACATATTTACTGAGGTATAATTTACATAGTCAAATCACCCTTCTTAGTATATAGTTCAATGACTCTTCACAAACACATATAGTCATAGAAGCATCAGGGACCTAAAGTTACAGAACAATTCTATCATCTCATAAAATTCTCTCATGCCAAGGGAGCTCTGGTGGCCTAGTGGCAAGACGCTGCACTGCAATCCCAGAGGTATGCGGTTCAAATCCACCAGATGCTCTGCTGGAGAAGGAGGGGGCAATCTCCTCCTGTACCAGTCAGATCTGATTTGATGGTACACGTAAAAATAATACAATAAAAATTTAAAAAAATTCTCTCATGCCCTTTTAATGTCAATCTTGAGCCAGGCACCAGAAGAAGATTCTCCGAAGTCATTTAAAAACGATCATCCTGGGTCCTATCTGGAGAACAAACCGTAAGTGGTGAAAGATAATTAAGAAATTCTAACACAGGCAAGCAATGATGGTGAATTAGGGTAGGGTACTCAGAAGAGCTGGTGATGATCAGAAGTGCCCAAGAAAAAGTTTATAAACTAAATTAAGGCACTAAAAAAATACAGGGACAAAGCCACTTATACAGTATCAATTTATTTATTTAGGACAAATATTTAATATGCTTATTCCAAAATGCAACCCAACTCTGTGCCCGTAGTTGGTTCTGAGGCAAGTGGACCCTCCTCGAGGCTGTAAGTTTTTATGAGGGAACAGGCCATCTCTCTCCCTCAGAGCGACTGGCTAGCAGTCCAAGTTATACACTACACCACCAGGGCTCTTTAATGTTTTTACTGGGTGGTCCAAATAAATCATTCACAAATAGTAAGGGAGGGGCTTGTGTAGTTCCAAAAAGCATGTATGTGCAAATACACAAGTTTTTATTCAGAAAACAAAAAACCGAAACTTCCTTCATTGAGAAACCCTGGTCTTAAAGGTAAGCCTATGTACTATACATGTAGGAAAAGGGAAAGGGAGTATCAGGCCACGTCACCTCATCGAAGTCTCCTCTCACAATGTGAACATCGCCAGCCAGAGTCTTGAGATAGTCGTAGCTTTCTTTGGTGCAAAGGTTTCCAGTGCAAAGGATGTGCTGGATCTTTCCAGGCACCAGCAGCTTTTTGAATTTAGCTGGCAGGCTGTTGCAGCGGTGTGGGATGTGCAGATCTCCTAACACCAACACCAACTTTAAAGTGTGAAGTGAGACAACGTACAGGGTTAAACAGGGTCAAAATACTGTGCAGACGAGACCAACAGAGCTATCAAGCCATACCGTTCTCCCTTCACACCTACCACATCAAACTCATCAAAGACTTCAGAGAACCCTACAAATGTATGTGATCCATACTGTTGCTACTGTGACCTTCGGAAGAAGCTACAGAAGGGAACATAATCTGTTCTAAAGGAATCTTCTTTTATTTTGGTTAATTGCTTGCACATCATGTAAGTAGCTATTCTAGACTAAACAGCAAGAATAAAATCAAGAATTCTAAAAAAATTTGTTTTAGGGATCTGTTAATTGTAACGAATTTTAGAAACTGCAAAATGAAACATACACTACCGGGCACTATGGAATTTCTGAAGATTGACCTAAGTCGTCTTATTTCTGCAGCTGTAATGTAAAGCCTCTTCTATAATTTTGGAACACTAACAATGGGGATTGTTTAAAAAAATGTAACAATAGAGAAAGAAAGTTGACAATTTATGTGTTCTAGATTGACACTATATGGAGGCACAGTAGGAAGGGGGGAAAAACTTGTTAAACTATTAACCATGCATTACAGATGTATAAAAATAGCTAAGTCCTATAGTTTCAACAGGGCAAATATATGCTTCGGATTTATAATCCTTGATATATTGTCTTCATTATTAAAAACCCTCACTGCCCTAATTTTCCTATCTGAATTAAATGACCTCTACATTTCCATATAGTCCCCAAACGTAAAAAATAACATTTTCAAACTCTTTCATGTACATCAGAGCACCTTAAAAAAGGAAACTGGCTAAAATAAAGTGTTCAGTTTAGCAGGAAGGTGGTTCAGAGTTACAACATGGTCTCATATAACAAAAATTAATTTTTTGCTCATAAATATAAACTACTCAATCTTGTGAAAATGTTAAGCTATTGTCAAAAGGTTATTTTAAAATCCCAGAGGACAATGGAATCAGTTTCTTCATGTTAATTCTCATCAGCACCTCAATTCTATGACAGGGTATCATCTTCGCATTTGGACACCATCAATAAATGCCTCAACTGCTATTGGAAAGGGATGGCTATTTTTAAGCATAATAGAAGGAAACATGAAATATCTCAAACAGGAAAAATGAAAAATCATTTTTCCATCAGGCTTCATAAGCAAAAATGAATAAAAATTAAAATATGCAAAATTAAAATGATTAACTAAAACAAGCTTAATTCATTTTGCAACAAAAATCAAAATGAGTGCAGAGGACAGGGTGTTATGAGGACAGAGCAACTGAAGTAACGTGGGGTTACAAAGTTAGCACCCTTCAAAATGGTGAATAAGTTTCTTCTTTATAAAGAATGGTAGTTGTGGCTGGTATTACTTAATGTTTCAATGCAGAATTTAGCAGACATAAAATCTGAACAACTGAAAATCACCCTCGTAATCAATATAAAAAGACCTGAAGATAGAACACACTTCATTTGAGGAGGGGGATTCCTTCAGATATGGTCTGAAGTAATGTTATAGCTCATGTGGGAAGCTGGCATTTGGGGGAAAAGGTAAAAAATTATTTCTATATTGAATTCATAAAGGTAAATGTCTACAAAAATGATCTCCAATGCCATCAAGTCCACTCCGATTCTCAGCAATCCTACAGGGCAGAGTGGATCACCCACAGCGCTCCACAGTTTCAAGCTTCAGAATGCCACCTCCTCTTGCCCAGGAATGAATGGTGCCTTCCAACCATGGACCAAGCACTTAACTACTGCACCACCAGGGCTCCTTACATGTCTATGACAGGCTGAAAATGTCTGGGACTAATAATGAATGAGCAGTTGGATCTGAATATGCTTGCAATAATACCAGTAAGATATGGTACTTTATAAGGACTGATGATCTAAATTCTATCAAGTACTGTGGATCACTCCCACGTACAACAAACCTATATTGTTGTTGTTAAGTGCCGTGGAGTCGCAGGCGACTCATAGCGACCCTATGAAGGAGAGTCCTCGACGCTTGTGTGCCTTTCATCCTCTCTCCAGGTTCATAGGGTTTCCAGAGGCAAGCTATTATGGAAGTGGACGCCACTCCTCCTTCCACGCTTGTTTAATCGGGGAGCTCCACCCCACTCTCAGTTCGCATTGGGTAGCCAACCATTAACGCATCTGACACATCTGTGTCACAGTGTTCAGCCTCACAGCAACCACAAGTGACCACGGGACAGCAACTTGTACACCAGGGCTATACGACCTAGAGGAATGTCTGAACAAAAACAATGAAAGACTGGCCGGAGGGCCACAAACTAAAAAGTCACCTATATTAGTGGCCTAAATATATAACTGCGTGCATGGCCACACAAATGATTTCAAATAGTACACATCCTCACTAAACGAATCCTTTGATTACCAGCAGGGAAGGAAGCTTTGCATTAAAAAAGTAATTCTAGGAAGGCTTTGCCCAAATTCCACACTTTGACAGGTCAGTGTAGAGACAGATTATGGTTCTTCTAAAAATGCCAGAAATTTCTGTAAATGGAAGTCCTGTTATATTCAAACAAGGAACCAACACAATCAAAGCATGGGAATTTGTTATTTTTTATTTGACAGACCTTAGAAAGGTGAGAAACCCAGGAATCAGCCGCCCCAGCACCACGTTAGTAGGAGCTAAGAGAAGAAACTTACTCTGTGCCCAGCCTTAGTGGAATGAAGAAGTTGATTGCAGACAAGGGGATGAAAAAAAAAAAAGGGTGAAACATGACCAATGTTAAAAGAAAGCAACGAAAAGAAACAAATTTAAAAAAAGAACCTATATCCAGACGAAAATGCAAACAATTGTTAATGATTTTTGAGTGTTATGAAAAGAAATGTTAAAAAATCAGCTTTGCTTAAATATCAAAAGAACAATTCATTGTGTTTTTAAACAAGACACACATACAAATATATATATATTTTTTTTAAAACTCTGCCTTGGTAATTTTTGTCTTTTCTGTTTTACATAATCTTGTTCTGACTCTCAACTTTTCTGTGTCCTGTCATTTAGGTTTTTATAAGGCAATCTGAAAAATTCAATTAGTCCTCGCTGGCATCGAGGCAGGCATTTTCTAAATTGTTAGGCCTTCTTTGTTCCTCAGATACACTGGTTTTAATTCTTGTATGTTCAAAATTTTAGCAGTTGGAAAATTATGCTGTGGCTGGGTCATTGTTATAGCAGCAACAACACAACACAGGTAACAAAGTTCCTAATAAAAATGATAAAAGCAAAGACCTTTTAGTAGCTACAAGTGAATAGTCCCCAAACTCAAGTTTGCCACTGGGTGGACACTTCATATGTGAACACAGTTAAGCGTCTCCAGGCTCTTTTGCAAAAGAGTGCTTTTAATCATAAAATAATCCCTTAACACTGAATTTTGCACAGTCCACATTAAAAGTGCTATACCACCATGACTATCCTACAAAAGCATGTTCAACTCTTGCAATAGTTTTCTGAAACAGGACTCATACATCAGCTAGTACTTCCATTCTCATGGATAGCTGTTTCAAAATTAAACAGAAATCCGACAAAGGATTTGCTAGCCCTGTAAATGGGAAAGTATTGTGCTGGAGAAGCTTTGAAAACGTGTATTCATCCCAAGTAATTCTACTGCTTCTTTTTTGGATACAGGGTGAAAGGAGGGTCAGGTGAATAACTGGAGTCTGTTTTGAAGCAAAAGTCACTTATGTGATTAAAACCTTTTAAATTGCATAAAGCAGTGACAAAAGTCTTTTGGGCTATCTCTTCCACACGTCAGTTCTTGAAACGGTTGTGTCTGTTTAGAATCCTGATAACGCTATGATATCAGAATCTATAACGCTGAAAACTCATTTAACACTAGATCTAAGCTCCTTACTGGAACACCTGTTAACTAAAGGGGTTGAGGGACGCTCTGGGAGGGGACCCCTTGGGGCACAGTCTTGGGAAGCAGAGACCTGGAAGACTGGTCTAGGAGGGAACCTTGGGGGCACAACTTGGGAGTAGCAGTGGAATGGGGAGTATGTAGGGTGGACAGCAGCCTGGAGGGCACAGCATGGAGGAGGCAACAGCACAAGGGGGTGTATGGGGTGGACAGCAACCTGGGGAGGCACAGCTTGAAAAAGCAGCAGTAGGGTGGGAGAAAGGGGCGTGGGGGAGTGGGAGGGGGGCAGCAGTACCAACAGTGGGGTTGGGTGGACAGCAAAGGGGGCAGCAGCCTAAAGAAATGATGCCTGAAGGGGCATCAGTGGGGGTGGGGGTGGATGGACAGCAGCCTGGGGAGCAGCAGCGGCAGGGTGGTGGACGGCCAGTAGCCTGGGTGGACAGCAGGCTGGGGGGCAGCAGCAGGGTGGGGAGAGTGGACATCAGCCTGGGTGTACAGCAGCCAGGGGGGCAGCAGCTTGGGGGGGGGGTAGCAGCAGGGCTGGGTGGACAGCAGCCTGGGGCAAAGCAAGGGGAGCAGCAGCCTGGGTGGACAGAAGCGAGGGTGGGGTGGGTGGCCAGCAGCCTGGGGGGCAGCAGCTGGGTGGACAGAAGCAAGGGTGGGGTGGTGGCCAGCAGCCTGGGTGGACAGAAGCGGGGGTGGGGTGGGTGGCCAGCAG